CCGGGGACCCGGTTTCCAAGAGGGCGGGCCCGTCGTTCACCTCCTCGGGTTTCACCTCAGGCCCCGGTGGAAAGTGCGCGGTGTCGGTTACCGGGCGGGGCCTTGGGCCCTGGGGGCAACAGGAGGGCCTCCCGCCCTCGCGGCCTCCCGGGCTGAGGCGCTGGGCCCGAGCCGCGCGGGACGTTCAAACCCTGCAGGGGCCTCGGGGGCGCTGGGGAGGGAGGAGGGAGGAGGCCGGCAGGCGCCGGGGCCCTGGCCTGCAACCTGAGCCGCGGCGGGCGTGAATAATGCATGGCCGCTCCCAGCTCCGGCCGCGAGGCGGAACCGAGGGCCGGCGGCCTGGCCGGGTCCCGCTCGGCCCCGTGGCCTCTGGAAAGCCCGTGCCCCGCGGCCGCACCTTGCTTGTCTGTGGGACGGAGCGATGGGCCGCGTCCTGTGACCTCAGAGCTGCAGCAGGACCCGCGAGGCCGCTGCTGGCGCTGGGCAGGCCCCTGCGCTCCGCCCTGAAGGCCGCCAGCCCCTGGCCGTGCCACCCTGACGCTCTGGCGCAGCTGGTCCATCCAGGGGGGACTCGACCCAAGGCCGTATGCCCACTGTCTGGCCGATAACCAGTCCACCTCCAAGAACCTGCACTGTAAGAGGCGGAGGCTGGGGCCTGTTAGATGAAGGGGGTGCAGGGAGAGCTTGGGGGTCGCAGCCCTGGGACCTGAGGCCTCAGAACCATTCCCCCTCCCCCTCCTCTCTGCCCACGGGTGAACGAACAGGACATACAGGGCTCAGGGTGGCTAAAGACAGACCTCCAGCTAAGGTCTAGCTCTCCACTCACTGAGCTTGTTTAGTCTTCAGGTCCAAAGCGAATTCTTTGGTCCACTAAGGTTCTGCATGGACGAGTCTGGCACAGAAAGGTTCTGGCCCTGGTTCTGCCCCTTGCTGACCCCATGCCTTGAGGCGGCTTTGGAGCCCCAGCTTGCTCAACTATGAACCGGCCAGCGAGGGGGGACTGAGAGGTGGATAAGTGAGCGAGCAGGTCTCTCCCGTCTCCTCACTTCCTTTGCCTCTCTGCTTTTCTCTCCTCTCTGTTCTTCCTCCCCCAAGATTCACCAAGAGTCAGTCAGTGCCCAGCAATTCATGGGTGGGGTGGGGTGAGGAGGGTCCTGTCAGGAGCTGCTGGCACTTGCTGCAGGCAGCCCCCAGGGAGCCGAAGGTAAGTTGACAGGAGGAACTAGAGTAATCAGGTGGCTTCCAGGGCAGGAGTCATGCAGAAAAACTCGGCCTGCTGCAGTGTGAGGTTTTGAGGGACACCCGCTCTCCCCGTCGCCGCCTCCTGTGTTGCCCATTCTGCCTCGTACGACTCTGTGGCTGCTGCCCACTTGAGGGAAAACAGAGGGTATGGGTTCATTCTATCTGAGCTCAGAGATGCCAGCAGTCACCCCTGCCCCTCTGGGGCCAGTTTTCTTTTTTTTTCCTTTTTTAAAAATATACCTTTATTGATTTCAGAGAGAGGAAAGGAGAAGGAGAGAGATAGAAACATCAATGATGAGAGAGTCATTGATCAAGCCCACAACCGGGACATGTGTCCTGACCGGGAATTGACCCTGATCGCCTGGATCCTAGGTTGACGCTCAACCGCTGAGCCACGCCCGGCCGGGCTGGGGCCAGTTTTCAATTTGAGCCTTGGCCACTATTATCTCATGAGATTCTCTCAACAGGCCCCTGGGATGGGAACTATCACCTCCATTCTCTAGATAAGGAAACTCTCAGAGAAGTTAAGTGACTTGTTCAAGGTCAGCCAGCTTGGGATGGTAGAACCGGGCTTGGACCCAGGCCTTCCAAAGCCACCTTCCTTGCTAGGCCCTCCTGCCGGCTAGGCTCCTGGGTCCTTGGGCCATCATGTGGGAGGGGAGCTGGATTCCTCAGTTAGCCTGGCCCCTGACCCTCAGGGTCCTGTAACCAGCATACATTTGCTTGGCTGTCTTATTCGTCAATTCATTCAGAAGTTGAAAGCCTGCTGTACACAGGGCTCTATCTTCCCAGGGATACAGCTAAGAACAAAACAGGTAAACACACAACCCTTGTGGAGTTGACATGTGGGTGGGAGGCCATCAACAAACAAGGAAAGTAAGAGATGTAACTTGTCAGGTGGTAATAAGTGCTGGGATTGAAATCAAGTGCGGAGGGGCAACATTGAACAGGTGTTGGGGATGGCCCGCTGGGAAGTGACACTGTGGAGTTAAGAGCTGCAGGAGGAGAGGGAGGGGCCCTGGGGGAAGCACAATGGTCCTGATGTGATGGAGGATCAGCGAGGCTAGGGGAATGGGAGTGCAGTCAGGGTCGAAGGTGGGAGGTAAAGTCAGAGGTTGGGGGCAGATGTACAGGGCACTGTGGGCCATGGTAAGGACTTGGTTTTGACTGTGAGGCTGGAGCCATGGGAGCCTTTTGGCAGAGAAGGGATGCAATTGGACCTCAGTCTTCACAGGATCCTTCTGGCTGCTATGGGGAGCTGGATCAGGCTGGAGGAAGTGGAGGTGGGGAGAAGTGGGGGGATGCTGGTAGGTCTTGTAGGCAGAGCCCACAGGATCTACAGGGGAGTCACAAATACCTCCAAGATTTCTGTAATCAACAAAGGTGAGGTTGGAGGGGCCATACCTGAGGTGAGGAAGGCAGTAGGCAGAGCCAGTACAGGAGGAAAGACTCATGTCAGCTTTGGACGTGTTGGTTTCAGATGTCTGTTAGGCACTGCCAGGGAGTTGGGTGGGCACCACAGAGATCAGGGCTGATATCCATTAGAGAGTCAGTGGCACCTAGGTGGTGGTGAAGCCACAGTTCTGGAGGATGACACCAGTGAAAAGGTGCCAATGGAGGACAGACCCAAGGAATGAACCCTGGGGCTGCACTGTTTGGCTCAAGGAGATGGTGAGTAGCTGAAGAGGAGGGCAGGGGAGCTGCAGCAAATGGGCACATGGGTCAGGTTAACTGAGGACAGAGAGCTGACCACTGGAAGCAGCTATATAGAGTGACCAGGGTGGTCCCAGGGGACTGGTGGGAGTAAGGGGGTTATAGCCTGACAGGAGAGGGTTCAAAGAAGAAAGGACTGCAGTAGTCACAAGGTACGTGTGTGCCTGTGAACATACCAAAACCCACTGTACCCTACACACTTGAGTGGGTGAATTGTATGCTGTGTGGTTTATTTCTCAATAAAGTTGTTACAAAAAGGAGGGAGGG